TATCGAAGAGTCATGGGCTCCTTCTTTGATTGGAAAACTGGATTTCATTGAATAGCACCGTGTGTGCTGCCCAATTACGAAAGATATGCACAGAAGTGTAGATTCTAGAATTGCTTCAGGATGTCTATTTAAGTCACCTAACTTTTCTGAAAAATTGATAAAAACTGTAAGTTCTTGTAATCTAGTTCATTAAGTTTAATGAGAGAGAATGCACTAAGTTTAAATGGTAGGTAATATTTTTCTTGGAACTTTTCTTTTTATACATATATGATATTCTGATATTTGTGAGGAGGCAGGCATTGGAGCAGCTCGCACTATTTTGTGCATATTCCCAAACTCATTAACACTTCCTTGCTTTTCTATGGGAAGAAAATTTTAATGCATAATAATTGGTGCCTCAACATTTCTATTGTTTGAATGTCTTCAATTATGCCCAATGCTTGTTGCCTTGTTGGTATTTTTGGCTAATTGTATTCTCCATTTGCCAAATTGTTCCAACATCATTTTGCCTTTGTTTACTACAATATGATGCCAAATAGAAACTTGTATTTGAGAAAGTAAGTATTTTTCTTAGCGAATTTCCCATCCTAATTCAAGCATGATGTTTAGTTGCTGTCTGGATATTACATTAGAGTTTTTTCTATTTAACATTTATGGTCAAATTCTTAAAACATACTGACTCAGATTTTTATATTGTTGAAGAGTTCACTACACATCATTTTCTTTAAAATTGAGTATTGATAGTATCACGATTTAGTTCCCACTATCTATTGTTTTATTGTTCTGCACAAAAACTTGGCAGCCAAATAATTTTTCATATCTAATATTGGAGTCAAATTATTCCGCATCAAATTTGATATTAAGTTTATGAGCACTTATTACACCTGAACTTATTGCAGAGGAAACAATCTTGAGAAAACACCAAAACGTCAAAGTCACTCCAATTTGTTGGAGTCATTTCAGTCACCAAAGCTGAAATCATCTCAGTGGAATGTTTCTCCAGCCATGAGTACTTTACAGAGTTACTATGGTCTTAAATCTTCTAATCACAAGGATGCAGCTGAAGGCACAGAGATGGCAGTTTATAGAACCACAAGCTCAGGGTATCTTGATGATGGGTTACTGCCCAAAGCCTCACCGATGTCTGACTCGAATTCAAACCTTAGTTTCAGACCTCGAAATTTGTCAAATGGTTTCTTGTTGGAGAATGGTGCAGCCTCTGAGTTTGCATCTCTTGCAGATGCTGGAGATGGGGAAGCTGAGAAGTCTAGCGAGAAGTCTGTCCGGAGGCGTCAGAAGGCTGAACCTGATTCCAATTTTTGCACTCCGGAAACGTTGCTGAAAGAAGAAAATGGAAGTGGAAGTAGTGGCTTCTGTGCTGTTACTGGAAAGGGTTTGGCCATGAGGCCAAAATCAGCAAGCCGTTCAGCACTGGTCACTGATTCTGATTCAGGTTGGTTGAATTCCATTCCAGTGGGCTTGGGAGATTCTATAATTATTGATAATCCTGTAGGAGTTCGTAAATCATCTAGCACATCAAGCCTGCAAGACCAGGATGGTGGTAATGTATCATCTCTTTGGTCAACTTCGAAGTGGAGTCTGAAACCTGACCTGCAGGCTTTCTCAACCGTGGCCATTACCAGACCGATATTTGATGGATTACCAAAGCCAATAACTGGCCGCCGGGGCAAAGCTGCTCTCGACTAGTACAAGTCATGGGGCATTAGTTTGATTCTATATTTTGATAGAAAGAAATTGAATTGGTTTACAAGGCATATTACTCGAGGTTTCCATGATTGTACAGCTGTAATGTAACTCAAAATATGCAGAAAAGTCAGGAATAGAAAGAGGTAAGATATGTATTTTTAGGGATTTGAAGGTTGGGAAAGGTTGTTACAATGAAGATTGTAAGAGATATTGCATTCTTTTGAGCCCTCAAATTCGTTTTGTAAGCTAGGAAAACCAAAGTGTAATTCCACTTGACTGAGGACTTCAATAGTCAACACTTTCTGAAGTGATTGTATAATCTTCCTGGTCATTCCTTCAGATATTGCCCTTCAGGAGAAACATTGCAAATAAGGGTGTCTTAAATGTACGAAAATAATATTAATATTTTTTTTTTAATTTTTATTAACATGTATGAATAATATATTTTAAGTGTATACGTGTGTCTAATATGTGTTTGTGTATTATGGTACTAGTGGCATAAGTGATAATATTTACCTTGGAATAATGGTGAAAAACTAATAAATGCTTGAATTAGAATTTAGGATGTCTGAGTTGTTATATATTATTTAATAAGTCCATGTGATTCGAGGAAGAAAAAATGAAGATTTGCTTATGAATATCAGAAAAGAAAGAAGCATTTTTGTTTTAAAAAAATATATATATATTTCTAATTAAAGTAGATAAATTTGATTATGCAATTAATATAAGTTTTATAAGATAATTAGTAAATTTAATTATTGATTAATTAAATAATAACTAACGACAGCTATTACAGTCACATGTATCACTACTTTAACATTATAACCATAACAATAATAATAATAGATTTTTTAAAAAAATAAACAATAATAATAATTATAATAGATAATTTTAGATTGTGCAAATAAAACATAATTTGGACATAAAATTATTACAGGATTCATTTACGGCTCAGAATTCATG